ACCATTGTGATTTCAGGTAGTCTGCAGCTGATGAGAACCTGTGAAATAGAATGATATCATTTTATACTGCAAATTTCGTCTTCCTTTCTTTATCGAAATTTATCAAGGGAACAAAATGTATGAAACAAGATCAACTGATAATAAATTTAAAAAGAAATGAAAATAAAAAGACGTAAATTTATCTTAGTGCAAGAATCGTCTAAAATATTAAATGGTTAATGCGTGTTTTGTCAGTCTAAACCACAGAAACTGATGTGATTAAAACATTCACATTATTCAAGAATAAATTAACGAATCTTATTTGCAGCCTTTGATTCTCCGCCTTCTTCAAAGACGATTTTCTAAATTCGTACTTTGTCCTAAGGCGTTGTCCGCCTTCTCTGTTTGAGCGAACTATGTGAATACGAACAAACTGAAGATAAAGGTAAAGTAGAATCAAAGCTTTATGAAGAAGGACAAAAGTCAGTTCTTTGTAACATCCACTTGAGAAACGTGGTAATCAATTGAATGGGAATTAGTGTAAACACTAAGTGCTGAAAAACATTATTTAATAGCAATAATTTATTCTGAATAAAATGTCTATAAAAAAAAGACATTTTCAGAGTATTTTTACTTACTACTTATACAGAATTTTCAAGTGAAATCGCGTTCTGTTGTATATCCTTTGAAACATTTGGAAGAAACTACCAGTTTAGGAGATTAGTTAAGCTCAAGATCTAACAACAGGGCGTTGCATAAAATGTTTTAGATCCTGGGTGGTGATCAGATAGTTTGCGATAACCTACGCTTCGAATTCTGCATATTGTCCAGAATAAAGCTGCTGTTATCATCATGCAGTTAAGTGGGAGAATATTGTGCCTCAGTAGTGTTACTCCACTTTACTCTCGTTTCTGTTGCCAGTTTCATCTGGCTGCATAAATTTTAAATTCCAGTTATTTTCCATTAACAGCTTCTTTTACTGTTTCGAACAGGATCTTGTAGATTCCTTACGCTGGGTAGAGAGGGATCTGAGTCTGTTTGTCCTTCGTTTTTCGGTGTTGCATCCAATAGACTGAATTTTCGATTTCTTGAGATTACTAGGTGCTTTCATCAAGTGCGAGTAGAATATCACTTTCTTGTTCTTCGAGGCCATTTCATCCCACTTCACAAGAGCCCTTGATGCCGATGACAGCAATATCCACACTGTGCTCGTGATTGCCATCCGGATGACGGAAGTTGATTATTGGATCAGCATTTAACTTCAAAAATAGCCGGTTTCTTCTCCTCTTCTCTGTCTTATTATCTAATTTTCCTCTGCAATCTGAGCAGCCTAAACTGCTTCAAACACTCTGTGGACATCTCAAATCCACATAGTCAATTTTATTTTCGTCGAAAATGGGTAAACTACTTGCTTGATGTGATTTAAGCTAGAATTAGACGGCACACTCTGAATTCAGTGTTCCAACCAATGGAAGTGCTTGGAATTTTCGCCACTAACGGTGACGTTTCACGTCAAGTAGATAGACTCATGTCCACCTTTCAGCCTTTTGCACACTTATGACAGGCGAATAAACGTGGTCCAAGAATGCGTGTCTGGGAGCTGCACTCAGGACTCCTCCGTGGTTGACAAGCATTCTACCACTGAACCAACAACACTCAAGGTTTTCATCTAATGTACGCCACTGGAATATGAATGAAATAGAGGAGCAGAAGTCTGAACAAAAGCAGATAGTTTTGAACGAGACGACAACAAAAGTCTAGTGATGTTCCACTCAAATACTGAGGTTATTTATATAGTCTAGCTCTCAAAAGTCCCGAAACACTACTCGATGAAGAACTGAAATACATAACACAGACATCTGAATTTTTCAAGAATTCTTCTGAATTTCGCATGATTACTATTTAAGAATGAAATCATGCAATGAGATCTGCCAATGAAAGGTAACTTCAAAATAGTTAAAAATGTTAGTTGAATATGCTAGAAAAGAATGTTTACAAGGAACAAGTGGGACAATCCAATCAAGAAACTGCTGTCGAATAAACATGCACAGAACACACTTTAAGGAGAACGTTGGGTGACATCGTACGCTAGACCGTCTAATATAACCCAAACAGTCGGCAACCGATGTGAAAACGAGTAGATCATAAGAGGAGGAGACAAGAGCCTGTGGTGTCAGTTCAGATTTTAATTAACTGTAACCCGATGGTTAGACAGGGTCAGTCTTTGCTGTTATCTTGATCACTCTGAATCTGAGAATACGTAGACTTCATTACTTTTAAACTGTGCGTCTCCCACGAGGTATCATAGATAATGTAGTGTATGAATTATCTGTCTAGCTCAAACACAAAATGCGTAAATCAGCCACACATCGAAGTCACATATGTGAATATATATGCAGCTAACACCTGCCAAATCACTAGCTGCGTACTACATATTCAATCACAAAATCAATTAGGTTCAACACTCAGGCAAAATGTCTATGGCCTCCTTGATTCGAGGAAACCATTCTCTTCCATTTCACTTTGATCTAACAGATTCTGACATCATTCACTTCATCATCTCGTTATGTGACTTTCCAGTTCAACTGACTCATTACAAACGGATTTTCACTTATCAGTTCTTATAATAATATGAAGGTTGCAGATGCACGGTGATGAAAGTAGAATCCTGATATAAGTGAATAGCGAATCTATGAGTCTGCAAACAGACGCTTTAATGTAGAATTTGAATTCTGTATGTAGCCTATTTCTCGTTTGGTCCGTTTTTCAATTCAAAAATTAGAACAGAGATTATTTCTACACAAACATTAAAACTAGTTATTCTTGCTACACTCAGTTCTAATCACTTAGTTCGCCTTTCGATTGTCTACAACAGAATATTTCTTCTCATGTAATGTTCCATTTCTCACACTGTTCGTTGACTAGCATCTTTACTGGGAACCCTACGGAGTCACAGATTCGCATTGATGAGGAATTTCCAAGTACAGTGAAGCAACTACTTGGTGGCAGAGAGTGCTCAGTGGCTCTCCGATTGCCATAAATCCATCGTATTTTAATTCTTTTCTGTTTATCTGTTAAGAGTAGATCTCTTGAATTGCGAAGATTAACTAACAGATTAAACAATGGGCGGATCGCTTCAAAGGACTCTTGAAACAACCACCAACTACAACCCGTCCAGAAATACCAACAACAGCACGTACACAACTGCAAGTTGACACCAATCACACAACGAGAGCTGAAGTCTTGAATGCAATCAAGCTTCTGATAGCTGGAAAAGCAGCTGAACTAGAACGAATACTCCCTCAAGCACTAAAAGCGGACCCAGAGACTACGGCAGACATGCTGCCTCCATGATTGCAAAAGGTTTGGAAGGAGGGAAAAAGATGCCTACTGACAGGAGGAAAGGTTATCTCGTGAAACTACCAAGGAAGGCCGAATTAGGCCCCACTCTGCAAGAACTGGCGAGGAATAATGCTGAATCGCATCATCCTGGAAAGAATAAAGGAATCACTGGATACAGATCTCCTACCAGGACAAGTTGGATTCAGGAAAGGCAAATCATGTACTGACCAAATTGCAACTCTACTCATCATCATCGAACAAAGCGTGGAATGGCAATCAAACCTCTATCTCAACTTTATAGACTTTGAGAAGGCCTTTGAAAGTGTTGACTGCGAAGTAATTTGGAAACTACTCGAGTACTACGGCGTACTCCAAATATTCATCAACCTTATTCAACAGCTGTACGACAACGGAACATGTCAAGTGATCCACAGCGGAAAACTCAGCGAGACGTTTGCTGTAAACACTGGAGTCAGACAAGGGTGCTTACTATCACCAATGATATTCCAAACTGTGCCAGGACTGACTGGATTACGCATGAGGCAGTGGGAAACGAGAAGACAGGATTACCCTGGACCGACGTGAAGAACCTAGAAGACCTGGATTTCGTGGATGATTTATGTTTGATGTCACACACAATCGAAGACTTACTAGCGAAAACCGACAAACTGGTCGAAGAAGCAGCCGGCGAAGACAGGACTCCAGGTAAACATAGACAAGACGGAGGTTATGAAAATAACCAACCAACAACAGCAACAGCATCCAACGTCAATCGCCATCAACGGGAGGGATTTGAAAGAGGTTACTTCATTCACTTATCTGAGGAGCATTTCCTCAGCTAGAGGAGGAACGGACGAGGATGTGAAATTGAGAATTGGGAAGCCGAGAAACACATTCATCAACCTGAAACCAATCTGGAAATCTTCATCACTCAGCATCGACAACAAAATTCAGTCGGATTTTCAATACAAACGTAAAGTCAGTCAGTTCTCCAATACGGGTCAGAAACTTGACTAGTCACAAAGAATATTTCCAACAGCCAGTTGCAGACTCTTATCAACAACTGTCTTCACTCTCTACTGAAGATCCGATGGCCTGAAAGAGTCACCGACAAGAAAATATGGGAACAAACAAAACCAAAACCAATCGCCCAACAAATATGCAGGAGAAAGTGGATTGGATGGATTGGACACTTGCTGAGGAGGCCGCTGGGTGACATCGCGCGTCAGACCATTTCTCAAGTGGAACCTGAAAGAGAAGCGGCAAGTGAGAATTTTAAGGGTGACATGGAGGAGATCGCGTGAAGAGGAGTTGAAACAGTGTGGAATTACATGGATGCAGGTGAAAAACACAGTAGAAGACAGAAGCAAGTGGTGCTCCATGTTCCACTAGGAACCCAAGGGAACAATAATAATGATAATAAACTAACGTGCTTTGTGTTTTCCGACAGCTTTCTGAGACTTCATTCTTATGTGTCGCTTCATACAGTTTTACATGTAGTGTAGCTTCTAATTCAATCGACTACATTCAATATGTTCCATTGGTTGTTTATCTTATATCAAAGTCCATGTTTTAATTCATCGTATAAATTTGCCTTGGCTGATTTTTAAATATTCTGATATTCCTAAATAGAATCGCACATTTATTCTACAACTTCTGCAATCAATACAATTTCGACAATGACAACTTCATCAAACGAGGGTAAGTTTTAAGTTTTATGTTTGAATTTCATTGTAAACTTGAAGGTATATTCTGTCAAGTTTTATTTTCAGCCCTGATACTCTTAGTGTTTAGATGAGACTATTCATTATGATGACATACTTTCCAGGACCTTATCGATGAAGCTGTGAATAAACGCTTTCATGTGTAGTTTCAATTCTACATGTAGCCCTTTATCCTATTATTCCGCTTTCCATTCAAGAATTAGAACAGAGAACAGTTCGACCTATAAATCAAATTTAGTTATTCTTGCTACAGTCGCGTTCTATTCACTTAGTTCCTATTTCGATTGTCTACAGCGGAATATGTCTTTTAATATAATGTTCCATTTCTTGCATTGTTCATTGACTGACACCTTGACTGGGAACCCTCTGGAGTCATCTGGTAATTTGAAAATTATTGACTCTATATTCCCCAACTGAATAAAAGATTCCATTCAGAATTGGACACCCAGTGAAATATAAGAGGAATGCAGTTAGTCAGTGGTGGTCAATGCAAAGTATATCTGAAGGGAATTTTACACAATGAAGGAGTCGTAACATGCTCACCATAGGTATGGATGTTTTTGAAATCGAGATGTTGAAGCTATCATGAGAGAGAAGATAAGGCCGCCCTAAATTGTAACGCAACACTTATATTCGTCCCTCGAATTTTTTAAGCGTCTTAAGTTTTTTCGACTTATGGGATGAATTAATCTGAAATATCTGTCTCGAGTTTTCGGATTTCAGGACCCCAGACTAGAATGCTTTCACATATTCGGACATTATTTATCTTAACATATATATATATATATATGTACTAAGATTCTCCATATTGACTGATCAACTGGGTTTTACTTGAACATGGTTTGCGCCCCACTCAACACTGTAATGAATACTAATAATACTGTTTACTTTGGAACTGGCTATAATAGTTATACAACTCTAGTCAAAATAATGAGAATGAATTGAGTTGATGAATAGTGTATCGAAATCAAATTTCGTCTGCAAGAACTGATGCGTCCTATCAACCATGATGACTTATCGGAAATAGAATAATCACAATCACAAAAGATTGATTCATTTGTTATTTGTCAACACTATGCTGGTTCGTGCAATATCAATGTCGAGGAACACACACAGGTTCTGGTCTCTGAACAAGAATATGTCTCAATATATCTTCATATTTTAAATAGGTTCTGTGACACATACATACTTACCATGTGTCAATCAACATTTTGCATAATCTTTCATTTTATGTCGAGATTAAATAATGTCATTCTGAAGATTCTATTTGTGACTATGCATGAAATAATACGTAATTACAAGTTACTAAGCAACTCTCTCAACCATCTGACTTCAGATGTGAACATCTGTATTGAATAAGTTGACTTCGCTGTCCAAAAGATAATCTCGATAGTTTAGGAAAGGCCTACTGATACGGCGTAAATAAGAACAATAGTCATATCTAGTGATCTTTACTGTAATATGAAGAGTCTTCTGAACACTGAGCAAAACTTCAAGTACTTTTGGCTCAGGACTAGATAATGTGAAATCTTGTGTGATGCTCAAGAAATCGTCTGCAAGTATTCGAGATACCCAAATCACAATTGTCACCTGTGACCACAGTAAAATCAGAAAGTGCAAAGAAATCAAAGTGGAGTGTGTATCACGTCATGCTGTTCTGTCTTCCGAACACTATGATTGGTACATTTTCAGTACGTTTGGCACAAGACTCTGTAGTAGGAAAGATATAATGATGATGCAGAACTGGTCTTTAAGTATTTGAGATACTCGAATCAAATCTTTCGCCTGTGACAACAGAGAACTCAGTGTGTAAAGTGTATCACATCTTGCTGTTTTGCTCTCCAGTTTTGAAACTCAATAGTTCAAGTAGAAAAGTGTAGTAGCTTTGCCATTGCGTGCACGCTTCGGCATAATTAGTAAAATCGACATGAAAAATGAAATAAACGGATTCTCTGTATCCAACCATTTGGATGGAGCTGTATTTGTGAGTCACAAATTCTCCAGTAGTCCATTGCAAAGGGACCTAATTCATAGGGGCGCATCACTATCTTTAAATGAGCCTCTCATAATGTCATCTTCTTTTCTACTTGTTTAATTTATTATGAATCATCTGAAAATGTCATCAGTCAAAAATGAAAACCAAACCATCCTCCCATTTACCCCATCGGATGAACTGTCTTCAACTCAAGAATCTGTGAATTCACGAAGTAACACAGAAGTATGTTTCCCATCGTTTTTACTCATAACCAAATTATTCAAGCCTGTTTCTAATCAGTCTTCTGTTGAACGAAGGACCTGGGAGTTCATTTGGAAGGTATTTGTCTCATTTTTTAGAGGAGGTTCATTTGATTCATCTTTTTTCGCAGACTTTCATCATAGTGTCAGTACAGATTACAATTGTGTGGGAAATCTGCGCTCTTGTGTTACTTGTGTAAGTTGTGTATTTTTGACTAATCCTGTTAATCAAATGTTTTGAAGTTCGCAAATTTATGAATGGATGAAAGAAAATACTTGGTTTTCATGGACGTGTGGGTACGTGTAACACTTACTTTTTATCCATGCATCACCCCATCTGTTTTATATCTCATAATCAGGTGTATAGAAAACAGTAGAGCGGAGAGAAAGACAGTGAATAAGCCACTTGAGATTCAAAATTATTATATTATTGTATTATTATTGTATCCTTTAGTTCCTAGAGGAACATAGGGCTTCAGCTGCGCACCTCCATTGACTTCGGTTTTCTGACAACTTTTTCACCCTGCTCCAGGTCTGCCCACATGCTTTCATCTCCTCTTCACATGACCTCCTCCAAGTCACCCTTGGACGACCAACTCGCCGCCTCCCTTTCGGGTTCCACTCGAGGGCTTGTCTAGTGATGTCACTTGATGGTTTCCTCAGCGTATGGCCAATCCATCTCCATTTCTTTCTGCCTATTTGTTTCACAATCGGTTCCTGATTGGTTCGCTCCCAGAGATCCCTGTTGCTGATCTTTTCTGGCCATCTGATCTTGAGTATTGAGCGGAGACAGTTGTTAATGAAGGTTTGAAGTTTGTTTGAGATGCTCTTTATGACTCGCCAAGTCTCTGATCCGTATAGTAGCACTGACTTCACATTGGAGTTGAAAATCCGGATCTTATTTTTGATGCTGATGCTGTTGACCTCCACACAGATTTGAGAGTAATGAAAGCTTGTCTTGCTTTTCCGATTCTGGCTTTGATGTCCTCGTCAGTTCCGCCTGTAGTTGAGACGATGCTTCCCAGGTAGGTGAAGGAGGTTGTTTCTTTCAGGTTCTTCCCATTTATGCTTATTGTGGTCTGTTGTTGCTGTTGATGTTGGCAAGGAATCTTCATCATCTCTGTTTTATCTATGTTCACGTGAAGTCCTATCTTTGATGCTTCTTCTGCCAACTTGTTACTTTTCATTTGCATATCTTCCAGTTTATGGGAAATCAGACATATATCATCGGCGAAATCCAGATCCTCCAAGTCTTTTGTGTCAGTCCATTTTATGCCTGTTCCCTCGTTGGTTGCCGTTGTCTGTCGCATTATCCAATCAATTGCAATCAGGAAGATCATTGGTGATAGTAGACAGCCTTGCCTCACTCCCGTCCTCACTTCGAAGGCTTCCGTAAGTTTCCCGTTGTGGATTACTTGGCATGCAGCATTGTCGTATAACTGTTGGATGAGGTGTATAATTGTCGATGGGACCCCGTAGTAGCGAAGTAGTTTCCAAATGACCTCTCGATCGACGCTGTCGAAGGCCTTTTCAAAGTCGATGAAGTTGAGATAGAGAGGTGACTGCCATTCCAAGCTTTGTTCAATGATGATCCGTAGAGTGGCGATTTGATCAATACATGATTTGTTTCTCCTGAATCCAGCCTGTTCCGGACGAAGTTTTTCATCTAGGGCTTGTTTGATTCTCTCCAGGATGATGCGACTTAGTATCTTGCTTGGAATGGACAGAAGCATAATTCCACGCCAGTTTTTACATTGACTTAAGTCTCCTTTCTTTGGAAGTTTGAATAAGTAACTGTTCTTCCAATCCTCGGGTACTTTGCCCTCTTTCCACACCTTCTCCAGTAGTGGTGTCATCAAGTCCGCTGTTGTCTCTGGGTCTATTTTCAAAGCCTCTGCTGGGATTCCATCTGGTCCCGGTGTTTTCCCAGTTTTAAGCATCTTGATTGCATTCAGGACTTCTGATTTCGTCGGGGGGTCAGTGTTCACTGGTAGTTCTGCTTCCGTTGTTGGTATTGCTGGACGTGTTGTAGGTGGCGGACGATTTAGAAGTCTTTTGAAGTGTTCAACCCAGTGCTTTCTCTGTTCCACCTCTTTGGTGATTGACTTTCCATTGTCGTCCTTTATTGGCTTAATCTGTGTCGAACGTTTGCCCGAAAGGTTCCTAGTTGTTTGGTAGAGTGTGGCGAGGTCTCCTTTGCCTGCAGCTTGTTCTGCTTCGTTTGCCATGGTTTCATAATATTTTCTTTTGTCTTCCCTGGCACTTTTCTTCACTCTTTTGTTCAGTGTATTGTAGCTTGCATTCAGCTCCTGTTTTTGTTGCTCGTCGTGCACTGGATAATCTTTTGCTTCACTGTCCTTCTCTCTTCTATTAGTTTCCAAGTGTCCGTAGTGAGCCACTGTTTGTCCTGTCTCTTTTTTCTGCCTAGAATTTCTATGCAGGTTTGGCTCCACACCGTTTTCAAGTTGTTCCAGTGCTTTTCAACGCCGACCTCTTCGCTAGTGTTGATTTGTGTCTCGGCTTTGTCCTTTATGCTTGCAATGAAGATGTCCTTTGTAGCCTGGTCCTTCAGCTTTTGAGTGTTGAACTTGGCTTGTGGTCTATCTGCAGCTCCTGATTCCCTGAAAGCTTTTAATTTGATTTGGATTGTCCCTTGTACGAGATAGTGGTCTGAGCCAACGTCTGCTCCTCTTCTTGCTTTTGTGTCCAGTAGGCTGCGCCTCCACTTCCTTGAGATTGAGATGAAGTCGATTTGGTTTTTGGTTTGCCCGTCTGGTGACACCCATGTAGCCTTGTGGATATCTTTGTGCTTGTATACACTGCCACCAATCACCAGTTCGTTGAAGGCGCAGAAGTCGGCGAAGAGTTCTCCGTTTTCATTCATTTCTCCTAGAGCTTCTCTACCCATGATGAGTTCCCTTCCCGTATTGTCTGGTCCCAGTTTGGCGTTCATGTCTCCCATTAGTATTTTCATGTCGCCAGCTGGAGTATTGTCCATTGTTGCCTGTAGTTGCCTGTAGAATTCTTCTTTCTTCTCGAGGTCTGCGTTGTTTGTGGGTGCATAACATTGTATGATTGACACTTTCCTTCCTTTGGAGTTGAACCTGGCGGTCATTATCCTGGACGAAATCGCCTCCCATTGTATCAGGGCTTTCGTTGCCGTTGGTGACATCATGATAGCCACGCCCTCGGTGTGCGTGTGGTTATCTTCTGGGTGACCGGAGTAGATCACTGACTCACCTGTTGACAATTTGGTGAGTCCACTCCCATTCCATCTGCTCTCACATATTCCCAGCACTTGTATTCCGTATCTTTTCATCTCGTTGGCGATCTGGGCAGCTTTCCAGTCTCGTACATAGTTCGGACGTTCCATGTTCCTACACAGACTTTTTCTTTTGGTGCAAGGAGGTTCATTTGCTGAAGTTCTGTAGCAATTTTTGTTTACAGGGTGGGGTTGCTAGCCTCACGCCTGAGAAAAGAATGATTACATTAAGTAAAAGTTTAGAGAGAAGCAACTTTTTGGGTTGCTCCCCTCAAAATCAGAAAATAACGGACAAACAATGAGAACAACATCAACAAAGGAAACAGTTCACAGAAAAAAGGGCAAAAAGCGACGACAACTATACAATAAGACAACATGCAATATAGTTCAGTACGTTAACTAAAATGATATCTTAACCATAAACTCACTGACTTGGAGCAACTTGAACATATAAATCCAACAATATATACAATTATAGATGTGTTTATGTTTAAAAATTCCACAAATCCAAACAGTGAGTTATGTGTATTATCTGTCAATAAGATTGTATTTTTTGGATTCAGTGTTCGAAAGGTTAATAATTGTGATAATTTCCGCAAACACTTTGCATAAAATTTTAGAGTAATAAGAGATTTTATTTATGACCAAAATGTAGCGTAATAGTCGAAAAGCGCGCTCAAGATTCAAAATAGTGAGGTGGAATTCGGTTTCTGTTTGAGCCAGCTATCATAAACTTTGAAACCATCATTCCATATGAGGTAGACATGAAATCGATATTGATGGCAGACTAAGTGGGAAAGAAAAGAAGCACTCTAATACCTATCAATTACATGTGCAACTTAGTGTTTCATACCAACCAATAGTGTCTCACAAATCAAAAATTTAAGCCTTGACAACTGAACATGTTGTGTTATTATTTGAGATATGATCTTGCATGTGAAAGCGATAATTTATTCATGCATGTGTTACATATTTGTCGGAATAAATTGTTATTATTATCACAATTATCAATATCACACAGTTGCATTTGAAATGGCTGATTCAAGTGCAGTTCAAGCACTCTGGTAGCAATCTACATATTAAATCGATAAAGCTTTAGGAGATGTCAATCCCCAACTGCTCTTCCTCATTCTGTACAAATTCATCTTCAGAATCCCATTCTTTATAGCTTTCTTTAATTTTGTTTCTAACTATACAGAATTCTGGGAACAGTTCTACAACTTGAGATGCTACTGATACCGCAGTTACAGTTTGCCTTCCGCTATAATTATATCTACTTGATAATTGCTGTAAGTGGAGTGCGTTTCGCCACTCATTTTATGAAAGTACAGTATTAACAATAATATTTTCCTCTTATATATCAGATTGTTCCATGTTCATATAAGGAATTGTTTCGCTTGTTGCCTTTCTTGTAACTCCACATAAAAATTACGCAATTTCTTTAAGTCAAGCACACAATGGATACGTTTTACACTAAAAGTAAGAAAAAAGTCGTGTTATCCTCAAGAAGCCAATTCAGAGGTGAAAATTCTGACGCCTAGTTGTATCTAATTTCGGAATATGAAAGAAATTGCGATAAACTAGAGTTAAGATTCTCAACTGACTGGACCGACGAATGTTAAAAATATTGAAGCAACTGCGGTCGCTCTTGAAACGCTCACTCCATATTAGGAACACATCAGTGACTTATAAGAGTGGAAGAAGTTTATGTGATCAGGTTTCAACACACATCGTCGAAAGTAGAATTGAACCCATTGGCTGAAACCGATTTCCTTAATATTTTCACAGTAGAAGTGTGTTTAGTTTCCTGTAGTATCCTGCCTAAACCATTGTCATTGCAGTTTGAGTGGTTGAATCCAATCGATCATCTTTGGTATTGCAGAATGAATTGAAGATAGAAATGTAGAGGTGCATTCGACAACAACTAATTTATTTGAAACCTAAAGATAAGGAATTGTTTCTTCCTGCCGCCTAACACTTATTAACTGAGTTATTTTCGATTGACTGGATAAATGCTTTCTGGGAAAAAGAAAGAGATACACCGGCTGGATACATCTTCCTAATTTATTTCATAAGAGGCATGTGTCAACTTTGTGGTAATGTCAGTGTCAAGGAACTTAATCCTAAGTTCCTATTATTTCCGAAGATGCTCCGAATCGACAAGCACTCATCACAGATATCCACTTTAATTCCAAAACACAGTGAATGACAAGAAATTGTATTCTTCGACAGTTAAAATCAATACTGTGTACTAAGTCTATATAAAAAGTTTTATTCGTATTCTTTTTTGCATTTGTCCACCAATGACGACTGAGGCCAATGAACAAACGTTCAATGTTCGTAATCACTGACAGTCAGAGTGAAATCAATGCCATGTTGATTGTGTTCTGTTGTGCAACTGTTATTGTAGCTGCTATGGGCATGCAGTATATAATGATTCAGTTTACGCACGCCTTCTTGTTGTTCACCCATAATCCCAAGGATATTGTTTACCGCTTCCATCCAACTGACTTCATCTATCAACATCAGTTCAGAATACTCATCGATTCTCAAGATCACTTTTTTGTTAATGGCTGCATTTCATTTTTCTCTGTTCAATATTGCCTGCTTTTCTTTCTCCCCACCCCCACAGACAATAATCGTTGCCTTTGCTGCAGCTGTTCCACTCATCGACTTACCATTCTGGTGGACATTTGTCACATGGACAATTACTGTGGTTATTGCGGGAATTGTAGTAGCTGTCAGTGTCGTCAACAGATTCGATGTGCTCAAGAGTTTTGGGGAGTTCATACTTGTCACTTTCATTGTGGAATTGGCCTTTGTAATAATATTCTTCCCTTTCATATTCTGGTGAGAATTTGACGTAAGTAATCAGATGAACTCTGAGTTGCTCTTAATTACAAATTATCTGTCACTAATGAAATATCGTAAAATATGATATGTTAGTAAGCTAGGAAAAGAAGGTAGAATGGTCTTGAAGCTGGGAAAGAAACCGCATGTAAACCAGAAGGATCACTACTGAATCATTAAAGCATGTAGGAAAAATCTCTTTCTCTCTGGAATCAGGAGGCAGAAACGTCGCTGGCAATGAAATCTCCTTGACGTCAATCGACCTATCCATCTTTTTTCGACAGGATGGAAATAGACAACGTGGAATACTTACAGTATGGTTAAAGCTGAAGGGACTGCGCTGTCAGCAATATGAGCAAGCAGATATTGTACAGAATTTCTAGAAAACTGTAAGGGAGATGAAATGGTGGTGGACACTCTACTGTCAATCGGAGACGCTATAATCTACTTCTGTCATCAAGATTTCAACCACGAGCACACTACGTCTATGGCTGTGATGATGTCCTTAAAAGTATCGATGACTGTTCTGTAGGGGAAGTCAGCCATCTACAGGGTAATGGCAGCAAGATTCGAATTGGAAGGTGGGAAATTCGCTAGTAGAATAAATTACTGCTTGGCAATTCTGGGAAGTTATCACAAATATACCTTGAACTTACACTTGTAATGACATCTCAGATCTTGTCCTGTGTGTCTGCTGTGTATCGTCTTTCCGATCCTAACTGACTATGACATTCTCATCCATGACCCCCTGTAGTGAAAACGATTCTGACCTGGTCAGGTAGATGGAATGACAACTTTGTAACGATTCCTCCAAGTAATGGTGATCGGCGTTCGTTGTGTTTATGCTCGGACGTCTTCATCACTTTTCCTATTTGACTTACTCATTCTAAGCCCGGTTAGACACGAGGCTAACAATAGCACACTCTCAGTCTCTGCGGTATTTTGAACTCAAAAAATATATACTAAAACCTACATGGAACTTCATGATTCCTTTGGTTTCCAGTTGACACTTTAGATGCAGAATGTGGATAATAGTGACTGGGATTAGCATGTCTGCATATTTGAAACATCCTGTGAACGATTATTACAATTTATGTAATGTGTCATTACACTGATCTCAGTTAATAATTAACAGACGTGAAGGCTAAGTTAAAATAAATTACTCGATAAAACCCGCAATCATATTTTTGTATATTTTGAGCTTAATTATTGATTTGATTCATCAATCTCTTGACAGATACTCATAATAGTGTGTGGATTCGCCATGATGTGGACAGTTATTTCGGTATGTTTATCAGTCGATCATTTGAAATAGAGAATAGTATTTTTTTCATATGGAGCCGACTGTTGTCAGTTTAAGGACTCGAAAATGTACTGAATGAAGTAGATAGCTGAAGTAGTTGATGCACGTTTGGTTTACGATACTAAGGAAATTCTCATCTCACGTATTTTATATGGGTGATACATATGCTACAATTGTTGCGCCTAATTTTGCTCGGTAATGAAGCTTTATTTTACTTCTTTCGCACAGTCTATTCACTGCAAATAGAAAATGAATGTCGCTGTAAAGTTTCTCACTCATTATGAGTTCTCATGCTGAAACTTGAAGCTGGTACACACTGTTTGCGAATACTCAGAGTCATCCATCAAGTTTCTTTAGGAAAATTTATTCTCAACAGCTACAAGTAAATAAGTATCAAGAGTTGCATTTCGTTCTTTCATGCCGTCATTTTCCGCATAACGTAAACAAACACATCAATATTCCACGGATATTGAACTTCACGTTTGAATTTGTATGCAGTGTTAGTCAAATAGCACAAGTAGCTCATTGCCTCAGGACAGCTAACAATTTGAGAAGAATAATATCGCACTCTGTATGTTCACTGACAAAATTCAACAAGTGTTTATCAGAACCTGAAGGAATGCCATGTCAGTTATATGTATGCTTCCTTACTGATCGATTTAACTTAGGCTTAAGCTTAATGTGATATCACCATAAACTTAAACCTAATTACACTCAGATTTACTCCCCATAAGTTTTTCCGTTATATTTTCATAAATGTCCTCATTAAAGGAAGCATTTTCTGCAGTGACTGATTCTGTTTTAGTGATTTTCAGCTGTGCAAAGTATTAGAGGAGATGAATGGAGCACAAAAATAGAGTTACAGTTTACTCGAAATATTACCTATTGGAGCAGAATGAGTTAAGAGAAGGTTCGATTTTCTGATATGGAGTTGCAGAAAACTTACTGAGACTCTGAGATTCCGATATGTCCGTCAGGTTCATATACATGAGTAGTATATTTTTGATGACTTGCAACTGTTTGCTTGGATATTCCATATTTCTAATTTATATTAATATATATGAATGATTGATGAAGTAGCATTAAGCCAGTGATAAGATGTCGTGTCTTCACCTTTCAATCCATGTTGAAAATGGTATTAGGAATTTTATCACTTGGTTGTACTTCATACTTTATTCAAATATTCCAGGATGTTTATAAATACTGGACAAGAATAAGCCTCAACATGACTGTCTTTCGTTTTCAGGAGATAGCTATCATTGTTCAAGCACTTCTTGGTGATAGACGATTCACATTTCGAAATGATCAACATGTACTCTGTGGATTGATTATTGCCATGTTAATTATCTGGCTCAATTTGCTCGTTTCAACGGAGGTGGCCATCTTCATCGTATCAATAAATCGCACAAAGGAAGACGACGGTTTTCATCCATTTGACACATATGCAGAGAAATATTTGGAATTTCAAAAGATAATCTGATGACAAATTTCAATGTACTTATTACTTTTAAAAGTGCAATAAAAGCGATAATATCTTTCTGATTCTCATTTATTTCAACACAACTGTCAAATATCAAAAATCAGTAGCAACTCAATAATATGACATTTGGTGCTTGGACAGAGTGGTGGAGAAAGCAGTAAGCTCGAGACGTACCTGCAGGTATTTCTGTCAGTTACTTGCAATCCCTTAAAACTAGCTCAAAAGGTATTTTAACAGATAGGGTCCCACCTTGACTGATACGTTATATCCACCACATAGAACTAGACACTGACTATTGGTCAACCAATCAGGGAATGGCATCCTAGTGCAGATACGAAATCACCACTACGATTTCATGCTAAAACGCCAAAAATTGTGGGATCGCTTATATTGTCACCGTCTCGTCAGCCAGATACAGCCTGACGAAGTCAATAAGTTTAGGTAAGGAAAGATTTTAACATTCTAACGAATGTTGTGGGGTTTCGCCATAAAAGAAGACTTGAAAACTGGTGAACAGTATACAGAAATTACACCTTAATAACTTATACACTGAAAGTTCAAGTTTAAACAGAAAGCGAAATATCCAAGATACAAAACCAAGAGAGTTCTGTTATAAGGACAAGAGTTGGTGGGTAGGACGATAAGTAATTAACTGATTATTTGAGTAACCGAAGTTATCTAAACCAGTAATAACCAAGAGACATTACGGCGAAGGAGAAGACATCCATGCCAAGATCAAGTAATTAAATAAAAGAAAGAGGAAAGACATTCATTTGCCAGGACAAGGAAGGATAGACAGCTGCCACTTACTGAACACTAATCGGGTTTCAGGAACTTCACAGAAATTGCTTTGGTTAATCTAAAGAAAAATGAAAAGTTCTACTCTCCAAAAATTTTAAAAGGTTTCATGCTGTCCATCTTCAGCGCCTTGTCTATAGACTAACAAAAATTTTGAAATAACATGTCTGCTTGAGTCCTTCATTTTATTGCATCAAAAACCATCTACAGAAAACTGCTAGTTGGCTTAGAGAGGATTCGAAAACAATTCGCTGATCCATTTGATTTCACTGAAAACCTGAAACATACGAACATTTGCAACAGGTTCATGGTATCATCCGATGTAACATCCACGTTCAGAAAGATCTCAACTAATACAACTACTGTTGTTATTTTTCGGCATTCTGGTCTCCTTTCTGTAAACATCTGCTACTAGTGCGTTCCCTAGATATATAATTCCAGTTTGACAGCTCAATTTACTGTTAGAAAAATTGAAGATTTGGGAAATCCACCGAGCAGACATCTGTATATCTAAACCTGATAAAACCCTGTAATCGATTGAACAACGTCTTACGGTTAAAACATTTTTAGTATGCCAAAAATAAAGCCTTCTGTCTAACCTACTTTGACTGTTCAATAACGCACATAAAAATACTGACTCCAATATGTAACATGAAAGTGATGGGAAGTTTCATTAAGTTGACACTGTCGCACTACGTCTGGAAAATTACATTCGCCAGAGATAAATTCATTGAAAGCTTGTATCGAATGAAGGATACATATATTTCAAGAGTTATCGATTTACATAGAGATAGGAATGTGCGTGAAAATGTGTGGATAAAGATCAAACCTCTATGAAAGAGACGTTTAAGAAACGTATACACCGTCTTGGGAGGCAAGAAGGAGAAAGACAAAAAATTGCTCTATAACCGCACCAGGAAGGTAGTAGAGTAACAGCAGATATCTAGACAGAAGATGAACCGGTGCAAGGTTGAACGACAAAAAGCGAAGTAAAACACACTGAATAAAGAAAAAAAGAAGAATGCTATGAAGGGCAAATAAAAGTTTATGACACCCTGCCGAATGGAGCAGAATATGCTGCAGATAAGACAGACTTTGGATCACCGTATAAGATAACTAGGTGGCTCTACGAGAAGCGATAACCACAAATGAGATCAATGAGAGATAGTTAATAAAACCAATTTATCAAGGGAGACGTTGGGAGGATCGTGTTTGGGAAATCATGAGTCAACCGAAACCTCCCACTCATCCGGAAACAGTGACACATGCTCAAGTGAACATCAGTCAGCCAATGAATCTTTTTAATCGTATAAAGTCACTGAAAAACGGGGAAAGGGTCAAAGTTGCTTGCCATTCCCCAGAAATACTGCAAACAGACCCCGGGATGTTAGCAAATTCTCAAACATCACTTGTGCAGAAGTTTTGGAAAGAAAGATACTTAGTGACTTCAAGGAGGGTCAAATTGTCACGCTATTAAAACTTGATAACCTAGCTCTTTGCGACAGCTGGCATGGACTGGCTCCTATCCAATCCAAACGGAGTATTCAGTGACATCATAATGTGGAAAGGGCTCTGGACGCGAAACTTTGCCTTGAACATGGTTGATTCAGGAAGAGGAAATCATGTGCGTACCAAACCGCAATAATAAGCATTGTCAGGGAACAGAGTAATGACTGACAGTGACCTCTCTACCTCAACTCTAAGTGCTGTGAAACAACTTTTAAAGTGTCAGACATGAAGTAATCTGCTCTCGACATCCATGAACCTCATTCGACAGATTTAGGATATACCAAATGCCGAGAGATTCACAATGGAAAATTCAGTGAATCCATTCAAGTGAATATGAGAATCAAACATACCCGCCCACTACCACTGACAATATTCATAATTCCGGTGGACCGGATCATAAAACAGGACTTCGGTGGTGAGAAGTCCGACAGACATAATAGATTTAAATAGATTTGGACATTCTGGATGATTTCCGTCTGTCAAGCAGAGTCGAAAATTCACACATAAAAACAAGTAGGTCATCAAAAGAGACAAGAAAGACAGGAGTTCATGTGAGCGAGGAGATGACAAAAGTAATGACGACACTCAATAGATTAATTAATGCATCAATTATTATCAAAAAGTGAATTATAAAAGCCATCAACCTTCATCATTTTCAACTAAAAATGGCAGCATGGACGAGTACGTTGGAACCATTCAGCAACGGAAAACAAGATACAGAGAAGAACACCATTCCTACATCATGCTGGATATCATCACCATTTAACACATGGACATGATCTAGGTTTCAATACCAGTGTCAGATCATTGCTTTTGTATGGTTCATGGACCTAGCACATCACGAAAATCATTCCGAACAGGTTGCACGGGTCCATCTACTATTACCTCTAAAGAAGGAATTTGAGACTGACAGGACTTGTTTTAAAATGAAAGGACGACAGTCGCATGTCAAATTGCAGAGTGTCCCAGAAATTAGATGTATAACATTTCTTTATTCACAGTTAAGCCACTATTCATGCATGTGCTGACACGATGACTTGGCTGGACAGTTCTTGAATAGTTTGCATTTGGCTTCGAGGATTTAGGATTCCATAGAACTAACTGGATTTGTTTATTGCTTGAATACCTGAGGTTTTTCACTATAGTCGCATGGGTGTCTGTTTTCTAGGCTGAGAAAGGACTCATTATTTATTTCATATTACGAAAACGACGCCGCTTCTGAGACTGTTCCAAATGTGTCTTGTATTATTAGTACAAGGAAGCATTATTGACACGGAAATTGCAGAAC